TGCAGTCCCCCATGCATGTGCCCCACTCCCATACGTGCGTGCACATCCCCGGTGCCTGCAGCCCCCCTCCCCTCACCTATTTTTGGCTTCCAGGTTGGTGCAGGAAGCCTTCCAGGCCTAAAATGGGGCACCGGGGGAGCATACACACACGTGTTAACACCCCCCCCATGCAATGCAAGAGCCCCCCCCCCAGAACACGCGCCCTGCCTTTCACACATGTGCAGCAGAGATCCAAAAACCAGCTGGCTGGCATGAGGCACGCGCGCATGCACAGTGAAGCTGGGTTGGGGCAACGGCTGGCGTGCCTGCAGAGTGGGCTGTGCGTGCCACCTTTGGCATGCGTGCCATAGGTTCGCCATCATGGTACTAGGACCTTTGTGTCAGGATAGTATTTTTTTTAACAGAATGATCTCTTGATGACCCATTTTTGGTTACATTTTTTATAAAGGCAAACTATATTGTGGGAATCATAAGCAGAGAAAAGTGGCAAAAGAGTTACAGCAACTCAATTTAACTGATTTATTAGAGCATAGCAGAATCCTCTAACAATTGGGTGAACCATTTAATGTACAGATTTTGTGTGATGTAAATCACTGGAAGCCTGTAGAAAATGGGTTGTATATAAATGGAAAGGAGGGAGGGAGCTTTTAGTACATTGTGTCAGCATTTCCCTTCCTTTTATACACTAGGGAAAAAAGGAAATAATATAGGAAAATGTTTAGTAATTGGCTGCAAGCAGTCGAAACAGATAACAAGTATCATACACTTCTTTGTGATTGAATATATATCACTTCTATATTTACTGTTCAATAGCAATAGTGAGGGACGCGGTGGCTCAGTCGCTAAGACGCTAAGCTTGTCGATCAAAAAAGTCGACGGTTCGAATGCCTAGCGCCTCATAACGGAGTGAGCTCCTGTTACTTGTCCCAGCTTCTGCCAATCTAGCCGTTTGAAAGCATGTAAAAATGCAAGTAGAAAAATAGGGACCACCTTTGGTGGGAAGGGAGCAGCGTTTCATGCATCTTCCGCATTTAGTCATGCCGGCCACATGACCACGGGGACGCCTTCAGACAGCGCTGGCTCTTCGGCTTTGAAACAGAGATGAGCACCGCCCTCTAGAGTTGGGACGACTAGCACATATGTGCGAGGGGAACTTTTACCTTTAGCAAATGCAAAGTGTAGGCAGTGATTCCCAGATGCATTAATGAATTACTTAATTTCATGTCCTTTCATATTTTATATTTGTAGATAAGGTTTTTATACTAATTTATTATTGTTGTTGTTATTACTATTATTATTATTAAATCATGTACGATTAGCCCACAATGCATGATGACTGAACATGCATTAATAAGAGGGATGTACTTTTGAAAGAAGTTATCTACTAAAGCAGAATTAGATTTTTTTTAAAAAATAAGTAGTATTTTTTCCAGAAATTCATAGGATCCAGCCATGAAGACATCTGCAAGATTAAAATATTTAACCTAGACATGTAAAGAATTTGGAGAAAGAGTTAATAGCTAATTTCCTGCCATTTTTCTCTTACAGGAGAGCGGCTTTTCCCACCTCCATCTGGATTAAGCTTTTCAAGTTGGTTTTGTGTGGAACATTTTAGCACAGCCCCAAATTATCATCCAATTAGGTTACTTACAGTTGTGAGGCGAGCAAACAGCTCTGAACAGCACTATATATGCCTCGCTATCGTCCTTTCAGTAAAAGACAGATCCCTTATTGTTTCAACTAAAGAAGAACTGCTTCAAAACTATGGTAAGAACCAGCCTGTCTAGAGACATTTCATCCATATATTTTTTTTCATTTTAGGACAATCACTCCACAATTACTCCACACATACATGGAAATGTATGTGTTAGGGGTATCTCCGTTGGGAGACAGAAAGTAGCACAGCGGAATGTACAGCTAGAGAGAAGGAATGTAAAACTACTACTAATAGTAGAATACTAGTAGAAGAAAAACACACGAATAGAGTCTCAGACATTGCTAGTAAAAA